CCATTCCTCCATCCCTCCATCCCTCCATCCCTCCATCCCTCCATCCCTCCATCCCTCCATCCCTTGTTGCTATCGGTATCTTGGTCCCAAATCTAGTTTTATCGACTCTGTTAATTTTGACTAAAAAAGTTTACCTTTTGAAATTGGTCCGGTCGATATCCCTTTGACAATCCGCTATAATTCGTCCTCATCACTAATCCTTCCACCGATTCTTTCTGCAAGAAAGAGCTCTTATCCCTCTGTCCATACGATATCAGTAAAATTATCAACAAGAAAAACATATATGTCACAATATCTGAAAGAATAACAGCCATCTGTTTTTCTTGGAACCTTTTCTTTCTCGCCATTTCGAGAGTGTCCTCAGAAGGTATTGTGACGGGAACACATGGGGCTTGGATTGTCGTGCAATGCATTGATTGGCTCTGGGTCAAACGTTGTCTTTTTCCCATATCGCTTTCCTTATCCGAGTGATCGTTTAAGTTCGGTTTCTTTATAATAAATGCAAAGATGACAGCGAAAACGATGACTTTTAGGGGTTGGCTGACGAAAATATCTTGAGTGACGGAAACAAACATGGAAAAAAGCCACTTTTCTGAAGTTCGTCTGCCAAATTCTATCCCATACATTAGGGTGACAGCTGTAGATGTAAGTGAAGTGACAGCGATACCTGCCCATCCGATGTAGAAGCACCAATACGGAAGACCTCGAAAAGCTTTTCTTTTTGTCTCCTTTCGTTCTTCCTCCTTCATGGAAGGTGCTATTAAATTGTTGCAGCAGTCTTCCCTGCTGCTCTCAACTTGTTTTGAACTCTTCGAAATACGAGGAATGACAAAGACAGCCGCCAACCTCAAARGTAAGAACCCAGCTCTCGGGTGTTTAAGACTGTTATGATTTTTACAGCCTTCCTGTTCCATTTGGCTCAGCTGCAAAGAAGACGATCTTTCGTTCTTCAGTGGATGATAGCTACTTGGCATGAACGTGGGTACGAGTTTCATAGGTGTTACTTTGTTGCTGTCTGCTTTCTGTTGCTTCTTAGGGATATCAGGAGACCTTCTCAGCTTACTGTGACGGAAGATTTGAACTAGAATAAGGTTAATAGGAAAAACTACGAGGCTGCTCATGATGCCAATGGAAATCTGTTCCCAGGAAAATTGAAACGGTCCAAGATCCACTGCAGTGTAGCTTCCCTTGTCTTTTTCGTACCACATAGCGTTGGCCATCATCGTGCAAAGAAGAAGAGAAAGGCAACAGGAGACTCTCTGGACGCGAGTGAAAGGACTATGCGGTGGTCGCCAGATAACAGAAAACCAAAGATGCGAGTCAGTCAAATCTTTTTTGGTTTTCGCCAAGAACATTTGAGAAAACTGCGCCATTTCTTCTTCGCTGGTAATGGGTAGAACTCTATCGATCATCCCGTCTCCTTCGTCTACGGCAAACCATCTGTTACATAAAAAATGGGAGATCTCTCCAGTTTGAATATCGCGTACTACAATGTGTTTTAGGAACAGAGCCGGGTCTTTGCCTTTGTTGTCATGCCATATTCTGATATGTAAAAGTGGCCCTAGTGATTCTTTAGTCGTGAGGAGAAAAGACGACGCTGTCCCTCGTTGGAGTGTCCTGTGAGATGCGTTGTCTGTCAGGAGGTAAGGTTCACTGTCGTGGAGCTCTCCGTATATCATTATTGCTGTATTGGCTGTCGTGCCAGCGTGCCTGCGAATTCCTGTAGTTACCGCTACTTCGTAGATGTACTTGTTACCGGGCTGGTTACTTGGGCTAATCATCACTTCGGTCTTGAACCATAAAAATGAAAGAAGATAGTTGAAAGAAAGAAATACTACCCGTTTTTGTCAAGCCCTGGGTGGATCTAAGTCAGGGCATGGCTTACTCACAGATAGAACCCTGAAACAACCTCTGGGCTGATCAAAGTCAGGGCACGCCTAACTCACAGGTCGAACCCTGAAACAACCTCTGGGCTGATCTAAGTCAGGGCATGGTTAACTCACAGATAGAACCCTGAAACAACCTCTGGGCTGATCTAAGTCAGGGCACGACTAACTCACAGATCGAACCCTGAAACGACCTCTRGGCTGATCCATGTCTTAACACGACTAACTCACAAATCGAATTATCTCACATATGATGCCTGATCGAGAAATTGAACCCAAACCCAAGAGATGAAAAGCACGTTACTCCTACGCCTGCTTTGATTCTCAGAAGTTGTGACAAGAATGACCAAGTGAAAGAAGACTTACCTTTAGAACATCACGTTTATCAGCACGGCGTGCCCATAATATCGCTAATGCATAGACCAACCATATAGTGCATAGTACAGCCAGGACAGGCAAGTAGTATGAGGGGTCAGAAATCCTCAAAGCGATTTTTTCAAGATCCAAACTGTTAGGGGGAATAAATATCTTGCTTCCAAACCAAGTGAGATGGTTGCACAAGCAGTGAATACGATGCTGATTCGTTTGGGGAGCAACCTATCAAAATAAAAATAATGATCTTTATTGCAAAAATAAATAAAATAAAATATATACTTGCTCCAGCAACGCTCTCTCACATCAATGATTTTCAGAGAGGTCCTGGACAAAAAAAAACGAAAAAAACAATGACAGAACTGCATTTGTACTCTAGCTTTGAAAACAGTAAATTAAGGCTTGTGGACGTAAGGGGAAGGCTTCGATTTGTGGCAGCCCCCTCCAAGAATTTGAATTTTGATTTTGATTTTGATTTTGATTTTGATTTTGATTTTGATTTTGATTTTGATTTTGATTTTGATTTTGATTTTGATTTTGATTTTGATTTTGATTTT